GGGTTGTAGGAAGGGTAATTATGTATTTTCCAGGCACATGTCCAAATCCTTTCAAAGAGCCATTTGTCCCATGTCTAATGCATAAATACAGCAAAACTTAGTCAATTTTCATATATTGAGCTGACATTTGTCTCACATACGTACGTATCCAATCACTAAAACAGCTATGTTTAAAATTTTGCCCTGAAAGGCAGTAAGTGATATTTACTCTGTTCAAGAAATAGTTCCATTATTCTTTTGGTCAGGCTTGTTTTAATTCAAAAGTTTTTAATAAGAGCAAATGTTTTATATTCTGAAAGAAAGGCAGCTTCATCAATGGTTTTAAACAAAACTTGTGAAGGCCTACCTGGAAAACCTGAATCTCCAGGCTGGCCTTTAGGTCCTTGTGGTCCAGGAAAACCAAAAGCTTCTCCAGGTAGACCTAAGCAACAAAACCTAAGTCCTTAGTTAAATCTGTAGAACTGATGGAGAACACATGCACAGATTCTGTCTTTCTTGCTCACCTTTGGGACCAGGTCGCCCCGGTTCTCCAGGGTTGCCGGGGAACCCAGGTGCACCTCCATCACCCTGAAAAACCCATCAGAACTTCAATCCCACCATTTTAACGTGTTGCCTGTTTGTGTGTATATTGTGTGTTTTTTTTCTCACAGTTCGTCCTGGCATGCCAGGAAATCCCATGATTCCAAAGTCCCCCTTCGGTCCAGGGAAGCCTGGGAGTCCAGGCTGCCCAGGGAACCCTGGCTGTCCAGGTTGCCCTTTACTTTGATCAGGGAAACCAGAAGATCCAGGCAGACCAGGTCGGCCAGGACGACCTGGCAGACCCTTGTCACCTGTGAACCAGATGAAAAAAGTTTGCATAAACCAAACATATTCATTTATACATTGTTAAAGTGTGGCAGGATTACTGATCAGTTTTTATTTCAGCTTATATGAAATCCTTAGAATATACAGACTTATTCTTGCTACCTCTGGGTCCAGTGAAGCCCTGAAGGCCTACAGATCCAGGTTCTCCTGGGACACCTTTCACCATAATCCCTGGTGGAGAAGGTCGGCCTGGAGGACCTGGAAATCCTTTGTCCCCTATAAAAGTAAAAACATGGACATGTTTGCGTTACTCTTCTTCAGTGCATGCCCTCTGCAGCTCTGATCCTGAACTGAGAGGCTCACAACTTCCATCACGTTCGGAATTTTACCTTTCTGTCCAGAAGGTGCAGGTGTCCCAGGAAATCCATCTCGACCAGGCACACCAGGCTGTCCTTTCACTCCAGTAAATCCTGGCAATCCTGGGCGACCTGGTAGACCAGGGAACCCCATCAGTCCTGGCAAGCCACGTATACCTGTGGAGATCAAAACAGWCAGCCGAAAGAGATGACACAACATCCTATTTTCCTCAGAAACCCCTTCACACTGGAAGAAAAACCACTTTGATATAATTAATGAGAGAATTTGAATTTCCTGCAAAAACGTTGTGTGAATGCTTTTTGCTGAAATTTGGTGAAGTCAAGTAAAAGTAGCTTTAATTAGCAAAAGAGGCTGAAAGTAGCAGAAACAAGTTGAAATTAGCAGATAGTCAGTGAAAATAAAGAAAAATTAATTAGCATTAAAACAAGAAAAGAAATACAAAACAGTTGCACTTTATTTTAAAATTGCTATAACAGCTGAAATAAACATAATAAAGTTAAAAAGTGTCTGAAAAAGAAAAAAATAGCACAAAAAGGCAGAGGAAGTGCATATATTTGCTAAATTGGGCAGTAAGACGCTGAAAATATCACCAAAAGGTCAGTTTAGCTTAAATAAAGCTAAAACTAGCTGAAAATAGCTAAAATTTTTGCTAAAACAGCAAAAGCCAACTTTAATTACCAGAAAACAGCTGAAGGAAGCAAATTAAAGAATAACTAGCTGAAAGAAGCAAAAAAAAAGCATATAACATTTAAATTTAGCTGAAGAAGAGCTGAAATGAGCAGAATGGGAGCTGAAAACCAGAAAAAGCTAAAATTAGCAAAACAAAAAAAGAAGATAAAGGAAGCTGAAATCAGCACAAAAAAGTAAATAAAAGCAGAAGCAGAACAAAAGGTGAAAAGTACAATTAAGATTTAGAGTTTTAAGGATGTTGAGGAAAGCTCCATTCATTTTTAATGAGAAAAAGAATTGACAGAAAAAGCTAAATATATCAAAAAAATATAAATCACTGAAATACCACAAGTCATAGCCAGAATGTCATGAATGAACTGAATGTTTTGATATATAACTTGTTGAAAAAGCACAAAAATTGTGAAATGAGTAACGTGCCGTAAAAACTTATGGAAGAAAAATGGATCATCTCAATAACGTGAATGCTTGATAAGTATTCCCATTAATAGCCAGAATGTGGATGGTCTTCACTCTGCATGCTTGAATATTTTTACACATGTTCAAATAGTGTTGCATGCACTAAAGTCTTGTTGTACATCTTCAAATCTGGTTGCATGCCTATGAATATTGTTATGTGTGCTCAAATGTGCATTTTGAATATTTTTGAGACTAATTTATCTCCATAGTTCTGTGTGGAACCTAGAAGCAGTGAATCCATTTCATGAAGACTGTACACACCAGCTGGGCTTAGTCATTGAGAATRTATGCTGGACTTATGCCTTAGTGTAACACTATGCATTGTATTTGTCCAGCTGCAACCTGATGCAATCCAAGAGAAATGTACCTGGGCAGGCACACAGAACTTGTAGGAGAAAATTTCGAGAATGATGGAATGATTGTTTTCACACAGAAGGAAGACATCCAAATTTGTCGTGATCCAGCCACGTTCTCATAGGTTAGGTCACATTTCTGAGTGAAGAGGATCTTACCCTTTGCTCCTGGAAATCCTGGGTTGCCCTCTCTAGTTCCTGGCCCTGGAAGTCCAGGGGGTCCCACTGGTCCTGGTATTCCATTAATGCCAGGAAGTCCTGGGGTTCCTTTCATTCCAGCGGGTCCGGGGAAACCTGGGTCCCCTCTTTCTCCTTTCACACCAGGGTATCCTGTCAGGGATGGGAGTTCAAATGAGGAATGATTAAGTCAGGAAAAAAATGTTTCAAGTAAAAATTATGACAGAGTTACTGTGTGTATATATAAGGAAAATAATGATATAATAATAAAATGTCCTATAAATTTAATTAGTTTTGCTACAAATAGTTAAAACAATGACTGATGGGAAACTACTTAAACTTACCTTTAACATAAATAAGCTACTTACCTCCAGGAAAATATTTATTGTATGTTTACAAAAATGACACAAGATTAACTTGTGTATCCTTAATAAACACACTCTTATGCAATGTGAGAAACTGAAGCCAACAATGTAATCGCTGATGTTCACTTACATTGTTTTAGTGTCTCGATTATGCTGCAATTGCACTTATCGATAAGACACAAGCCACTTGTGCTTCATTTAAATACAAACAGTATAGAGGTTTAAGCTGTTGAAGCATTTACTGGAACCAATCCATAAATGTCCAAATGAACTGAGTTTGAGTGCAATTCCAGTTTGATTTAGTGAGGCTCCGCCACCTGAGGGATGTCCTACAGAACAGCACGCTAACAGCTACGGATTACATTCTTAAAAACAGAACCCATTTCCAAACACATCTGTGCTGCGATGTTAATGAAAGTCAGATTTACTGTACAGAATCTGCCCCCAAAGTCGGCACAACAATGTGATGGAAATGAAAAAGTTCTTTTAAGAGTGTAGAAAAAGCCTTCGCGCTCAGCGCAGCAGTCGCAGAGTTAAATAGCATTTTGTTTAGGTTAACGAACCTAATGCTGTTAATTCAATAATCTGTTATTGATTAGATGTAAAATTGAAACATGAGGGTTAGATATTGCTGCAAAAGAACAAAAAAGCAGGCTGTTTGTTTCATAGAGTTTATTTGTGAAGATCTTATGAATGAAACATCCATCTTAAGTCAACAAATGATGCTCTTATTTTCTTCTGGAACCAGAGTTTCACATGTTACTGGCCAAAAAACAGTTAAGCACGCAGGTGGAAAGGTCTTACTTTAAGAACAGTGATGGATATATAAAGGATTTGATTTTCAGAGAACTGAGGCACCACATGGTTGAGTGGCATACTATAGTTATACACTCACCGGCCACTTTATTAGGTACACCTGTCCAACTGCTCGTTAACACTTAATTTCTAATCACTAATCACATGGCGGCAACTCAGTGCATTTAGGCATGTTGACATGGTCAAGACAATCTCCTGCAGTTCAAACCGGCATCAGTATGGGGAAGAAAGGTGATTTGAGTGCCTTTGAACGTGGCATGGTTGTTGGTGCCAGAAGGGCTGGTCTGAGTATTTCAGAAACTGCTGATCTACTGGGATTTTCACGCACAACCATCTCTAGGGTTTACAGAGAATGGTCCGAAAAAGAAAAAACATCCAGTGAGCGGCAGTCCTGTGGGCGGAAATGCCTTGTTGATGCCAGAGGTCAGAGGAGAATGGGCAGACTGGTTCGAGCTGATAGAAAGGCAACAGTGACTCAAATAACCACCCGTTACAACCAAGGTAGGCAGAAGAGCATCTCTGAACGCACAGTACGTCGAACTTTGAGGCAGATGGGCTTCAGCAGCAGAAGACCACACCGGGTGCCACTCCTTTCAGCTAAGAACAGAAAACTGAGGCTACAATTTGCACAAGCTCATCGAAATTGGACAAGAGAAGATTGGAAAAACGTTGCCTGDTCTGATGAGTCTCGATTTCTGCTGCGACATTCGGATGGTAGGGTCAGAATTTGGCGTCAACAACATGAAAGCATGGATCCATCCTGCCTTGTATCAACGGTTCAGGCTGGTGGTGGTGGTGTCATGGTGTGGGGAATCTTTTCTTGGCACTCTTTGGGCCCCTTGGTACCAATTGAGCATCGTTGCAACGCCACAGCCTACCTGAGTATTGTTGCTGACCATGTCCATCCCTTTATGACCACAAAACCGTTACTAGCGTGGTGTACCTAATAAAGTGGCCGGTGAGTGTAGTTATCAGTATAATGAGTCACCGGACATAAAAAAAAAATGCCTTAAAGACAAATTAGGCAGCTTTACTAATCAGGGCGGAGCCAGGGGGTGGCCAGAGATGGCCATGGCCACCATGGAAATAATTTTCAGCCATCGCAGTGGCCTCCCCACCCTGCTTTACCAGCAATATTTTGGCGAAGCCATTTCCATACGTATAATGTTAATTTCAACTGCACTACTCAAATAGGTAATTCTACATGGTGGTTACTGTCTGTGTAAGTAAATGACAGACTGACCAAGAAACATGATTAGATCCTCAGCAAATTGCCATGTAGGAAAAAAGTAATAATTTTCTGGACCACCCCAATTTAAACAGTGGTCTCAGTTTAGCCACTCCTAAAAAATTATCTGACTCCACCGTTGTTACTAACACTTACCAAAGTGGGGTTGTGAGAGGTCCAGTGGTCACATTAATGGTCACGCGTTACCCAAGTTGTGAGATGTACTAAAAAGCCAATAAAGTTTATTTGTTTGAACATTAAATATCCTGTCTTTATAGTGTATCTAATTGAATATAGGTTGAAAAGGATTCACAAATCAATGTATTTTGTTTTTATCTATGTTATACACACCGTCCCAACTTCAATGGAACTGGGTTTGCTTCCCAGTGGTGGGCACAGCTAACCACATTATTGGCTTCACTAACAACTAAACCACTACACAAATACCTTAGTTCCGCTAACACAAAGATAACTAAAAACACATTTAGGGGAAGCTAAACTTAAATGTATTTATTTGTTATTTACCATTATTTAATCAGGCATGTCCCATTGAGATCTCAGATCACTTTTACAAGGGAGGCCTGGGCCTGAAGGCAACCTATTGTACATGTTTTTGGGGGTGGGGGAAACCAGAGTACCTGGATAAAACCCACACAAGCACAAGGAGAACATGCAAACTCCACACAGAAAGACCCCAGGTCTGAACCGGGGGATCAAACCCTGGACCTTCTTGCTGTGGGGCGTCGGTACTAACCAATGAGCCGCCGTGCTGCCAAATCATCATTTAATTAAATTTGATTCAATTAAATCAAACCCAGTTTACCATGTGACATCATACCACAGCACTTGGGATTTCTCCTTTGAAAGTAAAGTCTGTTAACACGTCTTACCCCTTCAGAGATAGCACCCTAGTACAGTCTTTGAACAAATCAATGTCCATCCAGACAACACGTGTGCCTATGAACTGCCATCATATTAAGGACATTTTATAGCAATTGGTTGACATAATACTTTCGATTGCGATCTTTGCAGCTATTGGACAACTTGCCAAAGAAGACCTGACTTTGCTCTCCATCAAATCACTGCTTGCGTCCTGGCTCGAGGGCATGCCACACCCAACTGAGTGTACCTCCAACTCTGTTATCAATTTGACCTCATGTTGTAGTCATCGCAATGCACAGACATGACTTTCAACACATTTCATTTACTTTCCACCATTCTGCCTAGATGCTTAACTTTTGTATTATCTTAGCCTTGTTTATATTTGTAACTGTTTATTTAAGCATTGCTATTTTAAATGTTAATTCAGTAGCTAAAACCTTGACGATGGGCCATCATGTTAGCCTTCTCTGTCTGGTTTATTCAAGAGAGTTGAAACACCATCTACATCAAAAAGTTTGGCTCTAAATGTCAGCATTTTGAAAACTCAACCCCAAAGAAACACAAATGAGCAAACATTGAACTAAAAAGTCATAATCCTCTTCACTTCTATAGATGGACCTTTGTTTGCAGTACAGTGATAAAGCATACTCTGAAACTTTTAAGGTGGTATAGCCATTAAAGGTTAAAAGCATGAGTGGCAGAAGCATGCTGGGATTGAAGCAAAGGTTAGAGCGGACAGAAAAGAACGCGGACAATGGATGGAGGTAGAAAGTGTCTCACCTGGGCAGCCTATATCGAATCACCATAAACCAAGAATGAAAAGGATGGAGGGATGAGAGGATGCATGGAGGTGATGGTGGTGATGCATGGAGGATAGAAGGAGGAATTTAAGGAGGAAACAAAAAGTGGGACAAGGAGAAAACACAAAACAAAAGGAGACATTTTTGGGTGATGAAGAACTTCATTACACAGGAACATAACATGCCATTTGATGGAGGGTGTGAAAGGATAATGACGAGGGAACGAGAAGAACAAACGAACACTGGAAAACTGGAGGGACGAGAGGTGAAAAATATTAACCAAAATCAAGTCAAAATGATATTGTCTCGATCCAAAACCCGAACTAAAATGAAAAAACAAGACATAATTCATCATGTAGGTAGCAGAATATTTTCTCTCACCTGGTGATCCAATTTGTCCTTTGCTGCCAGGAGGTCCAGGCGGACCGGGGGTGGCCCCGATCGGCTCACCTGGAAATCCAGGAAGACCAGTAATACCAGGCAAACCGTCAATTCCACGCTCTCCCTTCAGACCAGGAGAACCTGAGAGTCCATCAAAACCTAATACAGGAATATATATATATATATATATTTAGTTTCCAACTGCTGTTTTTCACAGTATAATATTACTACAGCTGACTAATTAGCAACAGTTTGGCTTTATTTTATTACTATTCATTTATTCTTCTGTCTTTGTTCATTATACTACAGTTTTCACCATCCTCTGCAGTGACTTCCTGCCAGCAGTAAAACAGTTTCCATACCAGGTGGCATTTGGAAAGGTTAAGGTGTTCCCCACCACATGTCTGCAAAAACCTGCCAGCTGTGTTGAGGTCTGCCACAGACTCAGCATTGATGGGCCTTTTTTGGTGATACTATGTGGTCTCACTCCCAATGATCATTGTCCACTCTACCCCATTCGGCTATTTTTGTAGTTTGGTAGCAGAGATGTGATTATCTAGCTGCACAATCATTATTTTTTTTTTACAAATTTATTCAGAGATGTCAACAATGGAAGACGTGTTTGTTTATCCATCCTTACATGTTGGAGCCAGAGTCTGACCAAGAGCCAGAGGAGAGTGAAGATGGATGGATAACAAGCAAGTAGATTCCTAATCATTTGGTGTCTAATGTAGAGCAGTTCCTCGTACTAGTGTAGGTCCGCACAAATGTCTAGTTAGTTTTTAATGTGGGTCATGACCAGCCACTCAAAGCATTTTATGACAATTGGTCTAGGATGTCCCAAAAGATATTTCACATTAGGGCAACTTCTTTGAAAATGCTAGCATTGCTACGCCTAGAATGACTAAAAACCTTTTACGACAGTGCAAAAGCAAGTGGGAGCCTGAAAAAGAGAAGGAAGCTAAACCAGCTAATCCAACCCTTGCTACGCTGTTTTGTACAATTAAAAAAACTTCTGCAACAAGCCAAACAGATGACACTAAGAAAGATAAAGAAGAAGCAAAGCTGACTGGTCATTACAGAGATGATACCAATCTACCAATCTTTAAAAAACAAAGAAAGAAAATAAAGGCCCAGCGTGTTTTGTCTGTGTGCTATAAGAACTTTAAATGTGTTGGTGTATTAATTTAACGTGTTCCACTGTAAATCATTGCATCGTTGATACTACTGCTACTACTGCTGGAATGACAAAAGCACTTTTAGTTGTACTGTCTCCAGTATCATTGCTACCATAACTACAACACTATAAAGACCATATCAAGACCACATGCTAGTTTCTATGTCCTAGACCCACCAGGAGCTCCAGGTGATCCTGGTGTCCCTGGCTGACCCTTGTTTCCCTCCATTCCAGGTCGGCCATCCACCCCAGGAATTCCTGCAGTGGCTCCAAGAACCTCTCCAGGCTGGCCCTTGGGTCCTGGAAGTCCTGGAAAACCATCCTTCCCCCTGGGTCCATCTATACTCTGTCCTGGTACACCTGGAATCCCAGGGTCCCCTCTTGGGCCAGGAAAGCCTGCAGGAAAAATCAGAGATAAAAACTGAAGTATGGTCCAAGTAATGGACAGTGATTTTTTGAAAACGAGTCAATATTACATGTCCCTGTGAACTGCCAAAAAAGTAATAACTGTCATGAAAGGAAAGAACGTTTCTGTACAATGCAGACAGGTCAGACAGTTAGCAAAATATTCTGTCTCAACCATGCTGGTCTGCCCACAGCACAAAGGTTACCCTGTGGTCCAGGCTGGCCTCCAAAGCCGGGCTCTCCCTTCTCTCCTTTGCTACCATCAAACCCTGGACGTCCAGGACTTCCTGGGAAACCTGGAGTACCTTTAGGGCCTGAAAGAAAAAAGGTTGAGCACTTTGTTTGAGCATTATTCATTTGTAAAAATCTACATTTATTACACTTCTAACACTTTAAATCAGTAGTTAAAATTTATTAGGATATAATTATTTTAGGTAATATGATCTGAGAATTCCCTACTAGTGTCTTGGTTCAGGCTTTATTTTTGGTTTTATTTAACCTCTTTAGAAATTATCGTTTTGTGCTCAGTGTGTTCAGTGCCTGTCTTCTGTGTTTATTTTGGAACATTTGTTTCCTCAGAAGTGCTTATTCAGTTATCAAACCACTAAACAGTTTCTTGTCTTCACTCAGCTTCTGTCARGTCTTTAAATATAAGTCTCCTGTTGAGTCTGTGCCGTTGTCATCACCAGTGCTTTTGAATTTTGTTTTGCTCTTTATTAAATAATTTGGGATTATACAGTACTTACCTGCATTCTTCGGTCCTTACTAACAACAATTTACATCATTAAAATGTATCTAATTAAAACATTCTCTGCAAAAACAATGCAAAACACAAAATTGTGTGTCTATATTTATAGAAGGAATGTCTTATAGCAGGTCAAACTTAGTTACACAAGAGGGTCAAAATCCAAAACTTGGTCTAAGCTGAGGGCCAACATATGTAAATATTGATTAAAAAATGTTTTAGATATTAAATTACATGTTATTTTTCTAGAAACACAAATGATCTTTTCTAAATTATACCCACATGGCAGACATGCATGGGCCAGATCTGGTACCAAGCTGGCAATGCTGGCTGACTGGACATGGCAAGTGGTTTGTCAACCAGATGTGGGCCAGTTCTGGCAATGATAACACTGTTTTTAAGATTGTATGCTACAGTTGTCCCAGTTGTGATTTGGGTTATATGGTGCTGTTCCATCCATAGACCACCTCTGGCAAACCACATCTGGGCCACCAAAGGGCCGTCATTCTTCGCAATATCTGGACTGAGCATCAGAGTGTTCATTGTATTGCGTGGGCCAGAACTTGGTCAGAAATCTTTGCTTTTTGGGTATTTTATGTAGCATTTAAAACATAAATAACTGATAATGGATAAAAAGAATAAATATATAAATTTAGAAACGCACAYGATTAGCATTAATTTTATTGCCTTACACTCTATTGATAATTTATACATTTATTATTTATTAAAGATACATTTTATCACAATCCAGAAAATTAGAAAAAAAGAAAGAGGCTTTAAAATAAGATGAGAATCCAAAAAACATAGTTAAAATCAACTATTGTCATAAAAAGCACTAAATAGTGACAAAAAGAGAATTGATAAAATCTTTTACATTTAAAATATTACCTATGGGTCCAGATTTAATCTTGAACCCTAATCCAGGCAAACCAACGTGTCTTAAAAGCCCAGTAATAATTAGATAAATAGTAATAAATAATAAATCATTGCAAATCAGTTACCTGGTTGTCCAGGTAAACCTCGAGGTCCAGGCTCTCCAATTTCACCAGGTATGGTACATGGTAGCCTATCACCTAGTAGTGGTCAGATACAGKTTAGTACTCATTCTTTGTACATTTTCACCTTCACATTGAGCAAACACTTAGAAACAAATCAGTAGAAATTGACTTCAGTTTGTGTGTAATGTGGAAATAATTTTAAACTCATATATTTTCCTAATGTTTTTCAAAGGAAGCATGAAGAATGGAGTGATCACAAAAACGTGATGCAAACTGATGAAATTTGCTTTGAGTTTCGAAATGCTAATGGAGTTTTGATTGTCATTCGCTTCCACTTCACAGACTTTTAACTGGTTAATCTGAGTTTCACAGTGAGAACTTGTGCTAGAGGTTAAATGTTAACAGCAAGCTGATAAGTCCATATTGCACCCCAACTATCACTGGTTAAAAGCACTTACAGTAGCAGAGGCAGGGCGTTCACACATGCACCACATTTAAGCAGCTTCTATTGCAGAAAGGAGAGAAATATGCAACTGTCCAGTGACTGGATCACCAATTTCATCAGCTGAACTCGCCTGCCAATCATGAACTGACTCAAATTCTAGGCTGACAGAACAGAAATGTTTATTTTTTTATCTACCTTAAAGAATGCTTAAAGATTAACAGATCAGTGTTTTAAAGTAGTGTAAGTAAAGCTATTTTAAGTCTTATCTTTCCTGCAGTAGCAATTATCAGCACATTATCACTTTGAAATTTCTCTTCAAGAAGACGGGCTATTGGCTAGTCCAAAGGAACAACTTCCAAAGCAGAATCCTGCCATTTTAAAAACATCACTAAACTCTACAATTTCACAGTGGTTCAAGCAAGAACTAAGCTTTACCCTGTTGTCAGTTTTCAGTTTGATGACAGTCTTTAGCATAAAATATTAAAATAAACCCAACTCTTTCCACTTTGTACCCATCCCAGCCCAATTTGTGCCCATCTAAGCCCACTTTGTACCCACTTTTCATGTTTTGTACCCACTTTTTTATGTTTTGTACCAACCTATTCATGTTTTGTACCCACCTTTTCCCAGTTTGTACCCACCTCAGTCAGCTTTGTACCATCTAAGCCCACTTTGCACCCACTTCTTCATGTTTTGTACCCACCTCAGTCAGCTTTGTACCATCTAAGCCCACTTTGCACCCACTTCTTCATGTTTTGTACCCACCTCAGCCAGGTTTGTACCCATCTAAGCCCACTTTGTACCCACTTTTCATGTTTTGTACCCACCTTTTCATGTTTTGTACCCACTTTTCATGTTTTGTACCCACCTTTCCCCAGTTTGTACTCACCTCGGCCTGCTTTGTACCAACATCAGCTCACTTTGTACCCACCTTGGCAGCTACCCCACATTTTTTATTTAACCTACTGGATAACACTATTGGCGGCACGGTGGCTCAGTTGGTAGAGCTGATGCCTCTCAGCAAGAAGGTCATCGGTTCAAATCCCGGTCCGGGGACC